AGCTAACATGTTTTAAAATTTTTTATAAAATTTTATTAAAAATCAACAAAAGCTGCAATTCAGCTAAAAAAATTGTAATTCAGCTGCATAAAATTTCAATTCAGCTAACAAATTTCATCTGTTTTATAAAAAATCCTTCGAGATATTAACAAAAATGCCATAAAACTTCTATTCAGCTGCATAAAATTGCAATTCAGCTAACAATTTTTAAAGATTTTAGGATAAAATCCTTATTCAGCTAAGAAAAACTCAATTCAGCGGGAAGCTTTTAAGGAATTTTTAAAGAAATTATGCAAATTTTTAGAAATTTCGGCCTAAATTTCATATTCAGCAAGGAAATACTCAATTCAGCTGAAGATTTTTGGAGAATTTTTGAAGAAATTGTGTTAAATTGTTCAGATTTTGGCATAAAATCCTTATTCAGCTAAGAAAAACTCAATTCAGCTAGAAGATTTTGAGGATTTTTTGAAGAAATTATGCAAATGCAAATCTTTAGAAATATAGGCATAATATACTTATTCAGCTAAGAAAAACTCAATCCAATTCAGTTATTGAGGAATTTTTACAGAAATGTTGTTAGTTTTTACAAATTTTGAGATAAAATTCTTATTCAGCTAAGAAAAGCTCAATTCAGCGGGAAGCTTTTAAGGAATTTTTGAAAAAATTATGCAAAATTTTAGAAATTTCGGCCTAAATTTCATATTCAGCAAAGAAATACTCAATTCAGCTGAAGACTTTTGGAGAATTTTTGAAGAAATTTTATTAAATTGTACAAAATTTGGCATAAAATCCTTATTCAGCTAAGAAAAACTCAATTCAGCTGAAAGTTTTTGAGGAATTTTTATAGAAATTTGGTTAATTTTTACAAATTTTGAGATAAAATCCTTATAAGAAAAACTCAATTCAGCTGAAAATTTGTAAGGAATTTTTAAAGAAATTATGCAAATTTTTAGAAATTTCGGCCTAAATTTCATACTCAGCAAAGAAAAACTCAATTCAGGGGAAAGCTTTTAAGGAATTTTTTAAGAAATTATGCAAATTTTTAGAAATTTCATATTCAGCTAAGAAATACTCAATTCAGCTGAAGAATTTTGGGGAATTTTGTTAAATTGTACAAATTTTGGCATAAAATCCTTATTCAGCTAAGAAAAACTCAATTCAGCCAGAAGTTTTTGAGGAATTTTTAAAGAAATTTTGTTAATTTTTACAAATTTTGAGATAAAATCCTTATTCAGCTAAGAAAAACTAAATTCAGCTAAAAGTTTTTCAAGAATTTTTGAAGATGTGATAAATTTTAAAAATTTCTGCCTAAAATCCTTATTCAACTAAGAATTATGTAATTCAGCTGAAGGTATTTGTTGAATTCTGGTAAAAATTTTAATATTTTTAATAAAAGACTTCAAAAAATTGCTATTTAGCTAAGAAAATTTTAATTCAGCTAAGCAAAGTTTTTTGTTTAATTTGTTTCGCCTAAAAGTATGCATTACCAGTTAAAGAGTTTAAGAAGAAGTAGTTAATTTGTCTTAAAACTTTATGTCTGGCAAATTTCCAATATTTATTTTTTTGCTTTTCTTTAAATTTGACTTTAACAAATTTCTTTACTAAATTTATAACAACAAATCAAACAACAACTAAAAACCAACAACTACAATAGTATCAATAACAACATCATCAATATCATTGAATATTAATGGACTCTTTCCATTATTTTGAAACAGCTGTCTAACAATAAGGAATTTACTTGCTTCCTTTAGAGCACACACCTACCTCCTCCCCCTCCACACACATACACACAACCATTACTTTAAAAAGCAACTTACTGTATAAAGGAGAGAAAGAGAAGAGTTTGACTGTGTTAGTAGAGTGCATAAATGAATGACGATTCATTTATTTACTTTATTTGGTTGTTTATTAAGTATAGAGAGAAGGATGTATTTGTACAAAGTGTTGTCCTGTTTAACAGGTGGATGTACATACATATATGTATGTGTGTATGTGCTCCTCTTACTCCTGATTTCCCTGCTTCAAACAAACCACAAAATGTTAAATGTATAGTGACTTTATTTTTTTCTCCTTTTTGTGGGTTTTGCAAATACATTTATACTACTGCTCATTGTATTTTCATTGTGTCATTTATCTAAAAGGTCTCGTGCATTAACTGTGCAAATAACAACAACAACAACAATACCACTGACAACAATTTAAAAGGACTTTGTCGTATTGGTTTGTCAGTGGTTTCTAACTTGCGGTTACTAAATTTAGTTATTTCAAATATTTTACTATTTTATTTATATAAAAAAGTACTTTTTCTACTACTTTTTTTAAATTACAGAAATGTTTACATTTTTAGCTTTTTATAGCTTAATTTTTCCAAGAACTCATAAAAAATCTTAAAATTTATCAAAATTATGCCAAAATTAAAAAAGGTACTTTTTCTACTACTTTTTTTAAACAACAAGAATTTCAAAAAATTTAGCTTTTTATAGCTCTATCTTACAAAAAATCTTGAAAAATGAAAAATTTTTCAAAATTTTCCCAAAACTAAAATAGTACTTTTTCTACTACTTTTTTAAATAATAAGAATTTCAACAAATTTAGCTTTTTATAACTTTATCTTACAAGAGATCTTGAAAAATATTAACATTTTTCAAAATTTTCCCTAAATTAAAAAAGTACTTTTCCTACTACTTTTTTTAAATTACAGAAATTTTTAAATTTTAAGATTTTTATTGCTTTATTGTTCTAGAAATCATAAAAAATGTTAAAATTTTTAAAAATTTTCCCAAAATTAAAAAAAGTACTTTTTCTACTACTTTTTTTTAATTACAAGAATATCAAAAAATTTAGCTTTTTATAGATTTATTTTACAAGAAATCTTGAAAACTGTGAAATTTTTTCAAAATTTTCCGAAAATTAAAAAGTACTTTTTCTAATACTTTTTTAAAATCACGGATATTTTGAAATTTTTAAGTCTTTATTGCTTAATTTTTCCAAGAAATCATGTAAAAAGTTAAAATTTAAAAAAATCCTAAAATTAAAAAAGTACTTTTTCTACTACTTTTTTTAATTCACACAAATTTTTATATTTTAAGCTTTTTATTGCTTTGATTTTCACAAAAACACGAAAAATACCAAAAATTTATAAATTCTCTCCAATTTAAAAAAGTTCTTTTTCTACTACCTTTTTTAAATGATTGAAATTTTAAAAGAATTTTGTTGCAATAATTTAAATGTTTATGGAAATTCCTATTTTGTAGGTAATTACGTTCTAAAATGTTATGTATTTTGGAATTTGAACAAAATCTGAGAAAGTACTTTTCTGCTACTTTTTTTAAGTGTGAAGTTTTTTCAAAAATTTCTATTTGTTTAGTTTACTTATGAAGAAAACTACCAAAAATTAAATATCCTAAAAATTTCAATATATATTTTTTTTTTTTTTTGAGTTTTGGCTAATTTTAAAAAAGTACTTTTTTACAAAATATTACTATTTTATGTTCTGATATAAAGAGAATTACAACAAATTTCATAATTTTGGAAATTCTTGATGGATTTTGAAAAAGTACTTTTCTACTACTCTTTTGAAGGGTTGGAGTTTTTCCTTAACTTCGATATTTTTAGTTTGGGTATAAAAAGAATTAGCAAAAATTTAATATTTTGAATAATTTTTGTTGAGTTTAGAAAAGAACTTTTTACTACTATTTTTTAAAATGCTCTATTTCTTAGAAATTTTGTTCACAAGTTTAAATTTTTCCTTAAATTGCTATTTTTAGTTAAGATGTAAAGAACATTACAAAAAATTTTATATATTTTTATAGATTTTTGTTAAATTAAAAAAAAAGTATTTTTCTACTACTTTTTTAAAAAGTTGAAATTTTTCCTAAAAATTGTTATTTTTAGTTTACACCTAAACACCTAAAAATATAACCAAAAATTTCATTTTTTGATGAATTTTTGTTGAATTTAATAAAAGTACTTTTCTACTACTATTTTTTTATTAGTGAAAATTTTTCCAAAAATTAGATATTTTTAGTAAGGGTACCTAACCTTCAAGAATATAATGAAAAATTTCATATTTTTATGAATTTTCGTTGAATTTAAAAAGTACTTTTCTACTACTATTTTTTAAATGTGGGAATTTTTCCAAAAATTCAATATTTTTGGTTTGGGTTTAAAGAATATAACCAAAAAATATATATTTTATAGATTTTTATTGAATTAAAAAAAGTAGTTTTCTACTACTATTTTTGAAAAGTGGGAATTTTTCCTAAAGCTTGTTATTTTTAGTTTAGGTGTAAAGAATATAACCAAATTTTTCATATTTTGATGAAGTTGTGTTAAATTTAAAACAGTTCGTTTCTACTACTATTTTTTAAAAGTGCGACTTTTTTACTACTTTTTTTGAAAAGTGGGAATTTTTCCTAAAACTTGTTACTTTTAGTTTAGGTGTAGAGAATATAACCAAATATTTCATATTTTATACATTTTTGTTGAATTTGAAAAAAGTACTTTTTTACTACTATTTTTTACAAGTGGGAAATTTTCCAAAAAATCAATATTTTCAGTTAGGGTATAAAAATATCACAAAAAAATTCGTATTTTTATGGATTTTTGTTAAATTTTAAAAAAGTACTTTTCTACTACTATTTTGAAAAAGTGGGAGTTTTTGAAAAAATTTCATATTTTTGGTTTTGGTGTGAAGAACATAACCAGACATGACATATTTTATGGATTTTTGTTAAATTAAAAAAAGTACTTTTCTACTACTATTTTTTAAAAGTGGGAAATTTTCCAAAAATTCGATATTTTTAGTTAGGGTGTAAAGATTATAATCAAAAGTTTCATATTTTATGGATTTTTGAATTTTAAAAAGTAACACTTCTACTACTATTTTTTACATAAGAATTTTTCTCAAAAATATTACACTACAATTGAAAATTTAGATATTTTAAAGTTTTTTATGGAATTTGTAGAAAAAATTAAGACAATTTTGTTGGACTTACCCAGCCTGGAATCATTTTTCTTGCGTACACGCAAACAAATTGTACAGGATTTGATACACTGAAAAAAAAAGTATTAAAATTGTAGTTTTTTCTTTTTAAAACTCTGTTTCTTTTAACTTACATCATGTATATGCCGTATAATTTCCGTACGCGATATATTATCCAATGTTAAACCATTAACTTCGAGTATCTCATCGCCCACTTCCAAATTATCACGATCGGGTGGTGAGCCGTATAATTTGATTTTACCATCAACATTTTCTACCAAGATAATAACATAACCCGATAATTCAACCACTTGTTGCTGGAAAGAGAAAGAGGAGTAAGAAATTTAATAAAAAAAATTATATTATTAGCTAACTAAAGCATACTTTTAGGTTGGCAAAAAAATCTATTTACTAACTAAATTTCCTTTAACATAAAACTAAACAAATCCCTTTCAATTGCTGCTGTTGTAGATAAAGAACAAGAAAACAAAACTTTTTTTTATGACTTTCATTTCCATTTGGCTGACTTTTTGTGGTCGGCCACTTTATATCCGTTTGTTATTTTGGCCTTCAAATGGCACTTTTTTAATTTTACAGTTCATTGCTAACGGACGACAGCATTAGTTATTTGTCATTAAATTAAACAAATTTAACTATTAAACTTAATTAGTGACCACAATGTGTCATTAAAAGTCAAACACATACATACATATACAAAAACATTAACTTTTGAAGTTTGTTTTTGTATCTTTTAGTCTGTAGAAGGTAGTTATTTTTAGGCTTAAGAATGTTTTATGTTTAAAACTTATTCTTCGTCCCGCATACATACATATGACAAAGTAAGTAGTAGACCCACTGTCTGTGTTTGCTTCATCAGAAATCCTGACAAATTACATAAAAATTGTAGGCTTAATTTAACACTGTTAGAGAGAGTGTCATAAAAAAGCATTTAAAATGAGAAATGTGTTTAAATAATAAAAAAACTACTTAAACGTTTGAAAAGTGGAATGTTTGGGAGAAAACCACCAGAAATGTGTTTTTAGTCATTAAAAGACATTAAAAAGCTTTTAACAACTCTACAACATTAAAATTTCATTAAAAACCAGTTTTTCTTTACAAAAATAACATAAATTCTGAAAAAATAAAAATAGTAGTAGAAAAAGTACTTTTTTTGTTTAAAGAAATTTTCCACAAAAATTTGAAATTGTTGTTAAATAAGCATTAAAAATCAATTTTGGATAAAAATGTGAAATTTAAAAAAAGTAGTAGAAAACATACTTTTTTATTTAAGGAAATTTTCCACAAAAACTTGATACTGTTGTTTAATAAGCATGAAAACTTAATTTTGGCCCAAAACTTTAACTTTTTAAAAAAAGTAGTAGAAAAAATTAAAATAGTAGTAGAAAAAGTAGTTAAGGAAATTATCCAAAAAAACTTAAAGTTGTTGTTAAATAATCATGAAAGCTCAATTTAGGTTAAAAATTTGCAATTTCAAAAAGTAGTAGAAAAAAAAAATGGAAATAGTAGCAGAAAAAATACTTTTTTTAGTTAAGGAAATTGTTGTTAAATAAGCTTAAAAACTTAATTTTGGTTAAAAATTTTTAATTACAAAAAAAAATAGTAGAAAAACTGGAAATAGTAGTAGAAAAAGTGCTTTTATATGAAGGAAATGTTCAACAAAAACTTGTAATTGTTGTTAAATAAGCATGAAAACTTAATCTTGATAGAAAATTTTCGCTTTTTAAAAAAGTAGTAGAAATTATTTAAATAGTAGTACAAAAAGTACTTTTTTATTTTAGGAAATTTTCCACAAAAACTTGAAATTCTTGTTAAAAAAGCAAGAAAACAAAATTTTAGCAAAAAATTTTCACATTTAAAAAAAGTAGTAGAAAAAATGGAAAAAGTAGTAGAAAAAGTACCTTTTTATTTTAGGAAATTTTCAACCAAAACTTAAAATTGTTCTTAAATAAGCATGCAAACTTAATTTTGGGCCAAAAATTTTACATTAAAAAAAGTAGTAGAAAAATAGAAAAAAGTAGTAGAAAAAGTACTTTATTATTAATGGAAATTTTCAACAAAAACTTGAAATTGTTGTTAAATAAGCATGCAAACTTAATTTTGGTCAAAAAATTTTACATTAAAAAAGGTAGTAGAAAAATTTAAAAAAGTAGTAGAAAAAGTACTTTTTTATTGATGGAAGTTTTTCACAAAAACTTGAAATTTTTGTCAAATAATTTTGGCTAAAAATTTAAATATTTAAAAAAGTAGTAGAATAAATTCGTGTTTTAAAAAAAGTAGTAGAAAAAGTATTTTTTCTTTAATAGTAGAAAAAGTACTGTTATATTTAATAGTAGAAAAAGTATTTTTTTAAACTAACTAACTAACTAACTAATTTTTTGGTGATTTCGAGGCTGTTGATGTACAAAAAAGTTTTTTTGGTGGAAAATTCAAAATAGTAGTAGAAAAAGTACTTTTTTAAAAACTTGAAAAACATCATAAAAATTAACTTTTAGACGATTTCTAGCCTATTGATAAACAAAAAGGCAATTCTTTTGAAAGTTTAAAATAGTAGTAGAAAAAGTACTTTTTTAAAAACTCGAAAAAAGAGTATAAAAATAAACTTTTAGACGATTTATAGGCTATTGATTAACAAAATAGCAATTTTTTTGAAGTTTAAAATAGTAGTAGAAAAAGTACTTTTTGAAAAAAACTTGAAAAAAGACATACAAATATTTTTAACGATTTCCAGGCTATTGATGTACAGAAAAGTAATTTTTGGGAAAATGCAAAATAGTAGTACAAAAAGTACTTTTTTAAAAAACTTGAAAAAAAAGCATAAAAATAAACTTTTAGACGATTTATAGGCTATTAATAAACAAAAAAGCTATTATTTTGAAAGTTTAAAATAGTAGTAGAAAAAGTACCTTTTTAAAAATTGGGCTAAAATTTAACAAAAAACTAAAATTTTATAAGTTTTAAGTTAAATAAAGAATAAAACACAAAGTTTTTCGTAATTTACAAATAGTAGTAGAAAAGTACTTTTACAATTTTAAGGATTTTTTGGTCTGAAAATTGTCTTAAATTGTATTTGAATTAAAATATTCATTGTTGAGTTTTTGTTATTATACTTCTTTTCTTATGAGCCAATTGCCACTTTAACACCATTCGTTAGCATTCTTTGTGTTACTTATTGTCCTTGTTATTGTTGTTGTTGTTGCTGGCATATAGCGCTCAAACGCCACTAAAAACAGGCTGTTGACATCAATAGATTTGTGACAAAATATAGTAAAAATAAAATATAATGTTAAACATCAGAAATATAGCAAACCCAACCCAGTAAATGGTTTAGACAACAGGGGCTAAAGTAGAGAAACCATCACGCTATTACTGCAGTAACACAAACTCATTTACACATACATATGTACATATACGAAAGAGAGCATGAGAGCCCCTAAAGATATGCTATGGAAAAAAGTAAACACAAAAAAGAAATCAACTTGAACAAACACTATTTTGCAATGCAAAAATTGTCAGCAACAGACACAAGGCAGGCAAGTCAGGCAGGCATTTATATTTATGTAGACACAAACCGCCAAAAGCAGCTGTAGAACCAGCCCATCATGACAACAGCAGCTGCAGCAAGAATATTTTAACAACAATTCTAGGCATTAGTATTCATCAGCACCTTTTTTAAAAACTTTTCTCTATATCTTTTTGGTTGAATTTTTTTTTTTTGTATTTTTTTGGTTTATAGAAAAATTTGAAGAGGTACTTGCTTGCTGTGACATTAGAAAGGACAGCAAGCAGTTGAGCAGGCCTAAGACACCTTTTAGGTTGTTGGTGTTATTTGTGTTTGGTTGCTTGTCTGTTGTTGCTGTTGTGCAACCTGTAAGCTTTAACATTTATGTAAGGCGCCAATTGTAAATGTTGCACTTTGGCATAATGCCAAATAAAAAGAAAAAGTTTTTTTTCTAACTACAGACAAAACTTTTTGCCTGCCTTTTCTCTAGTCTCCTATTTAAGTTGTTCTTGTTAAACGTTTTTATTTGGTGATTTCATTTTAAGGTTGCAATAGCTTTCTTCTTTTTGTTGTTTTTATTAATAATTCTGGGGTTTAAGTGGGTGATTGTTCCCTTTTTTTCAATTGTTGTTGCTTTATAAATATTTGCTAGCTAAAAGTTTGCTGGCATTGTTTGAAGTTTGAAACCAAAAAAGTTTTTATTTGTCTTAAATTTTGGCTGGAATTATTGTCCAAGAGGTCAAGCGTAATTAAAGTTACAAAAAAGGGGGTTTAAGCAAAAAATAATTAAAGTTTAAAGAAGGGAAAACATCTAAATTTGGAGAACATTTTAAATTTTGGTAGAAAGGTAGCTTTTCTAGATCTAGACCCACTAGATTATAAACAAGACTATAGGCTAGACTCTGGTTTTGTTCTAGTTCTGTTCTAGTTCTAGTTCTGTTCTAGTTCTGTTCTAGTTCTGTTCTAGTTCTGTTCTAGTTCTGTTCTAGTTCTGTTCTAGTTCTGTTCTAGTTCTGTTCTAGTTCTAGTTCTGTTCTAGTTCTAGTTCTGTTCTAGTTCTGTTCTAGTTCTAGTTCTGTTCTAGTTCTAGTTCTGTTCTAGTTCTGTTCTAGTTCTGTTCTAGTTCTGTTCTAGTTCTGTTCTAGTTCTAGTTCTGTTCTAGTTCTGTTCTAGTTCTGTTCTAGTTCTGTTCTAGTTCTGTTCTAGTTCTGTTCTAGTTCTGTTCTAGTTCTGTTCTAGTTCTGTTCTAGTTCAGTTCTAGTTCAGTTCAAGTCAGTTCTAGTTCAGTTCTAGTTCAGTTCTAGTTCAGTTCTAGTTCAGTTCTAGTTCAGTTCTAGTTCAGTTCTAGTTCAGTTCTAGTTCAGTTCTAGTTCAGTTCTAGTTCAGTTCTAGTTCAGTTGTAGTTCAGTTGTAGTTCAGTTCTAGTTCAGTTCTAGTTCAGTTCTAGTTCAGTTCTAGTTCAGTTCTAGTTCAGTTCTAGTTCAGTTCTAGTTCAGTTCTAGTTCAGTTCTAGTTCTGTTCTAGTTCTGTTCTAGTTCTGTTCTAGTTCTGTTCTAGTTCTGTTCTGTTCTAGTTCTGTTCTAGTTCTGTTCTAGTTCTGTTCTAGTTCTGTTCTAGTTCTGTTCTAGTTCTGTTCTAGTTCTGTTCTAGTTCTGTTCTAGTTCTGTTCTAGTTCTGTTCTAGTTCTGTTCTAGTTCTGTTCTAGTTCTGTTCTAGTTCTGTTCTAGTTCTGTTCTAGTTCTGTTCTAGTTTCTGTTCTAGTTCTGTTCTAGTTCTGTTCTAGTTCTGTTCTAGTTC